TGAAATTCTAGAAAAAGTAAAACTCACTACAGAAAGCAGATCAGCCTGGCCATGCATGACCCAGAGGAGGTGGAGGGAACTAACTTCAGGAAATTTGGGGTGGGTCATGAGGGAGTTTTGGAGAGTCATGGAAATGTTCCCTACCATGATGGTAGTCTATACATTTGCCAAAACTCACTGAGGACTACACTTAAAATTGCTGAATTATGTTGTATGTAGATTATATCATAGTAAAGCAAAACCTGGAGTAGCATTTTGGTTCTTTCATATCTGACTCACCCTAGGCAAAATCTACTAACCCTTTGGCAATAGAAAATCAGCAGCTGGAGAACAAGACGTTATGTAAAAGAACGACGGTGGCAGTGGGCACTGCGCATGAGTTGGCTGGACTTGACTGGATGAATTCCGTCCAAGATACAGCTTTTAGTCTCTCGAGGTCTCTGGACACCCAGAAAGTGGGTCATCTTTCAGAATATCTGCGTCACTCTGGAGAAGATGGTAGTAAAATCGAAGACCAGCTGGATTTGTTCTGAAATGTAACAAAATACTTACTTACTTGGAAGTACTATTAATCCTTTCATTAACTGGACTGAGGAGATTGGGTTTATAGTCTCAATTATTTTCTCTTGCTATCAACAGTGAATATTCTTCTGGAAGAGGATTGTTTAGTAAGCATTAAACTTGTACTTTGGAAAAGCAGAGGTCATGTTACTGCTTGATTGCAAATCTCAAAAGTTTGAAATTAAAACTCATAACAAGTAATTTTGCAGAACGAATTGCTGTATTGAAGCAACTATTTTAAAAGTAAAATTACTTTGCCAAAAATATTCAACTATTAATGCAAAAAGCATTGTTCTGGACTGGATTCTTCAGATAATTCTGCTTTGGGCAACAAGTAACAGAAAACCAACTTAAATGTGCTTACACAGTAAGGACATTCACTGGCTCCTGGGTCTGGAATTCTTTTCACAGCAGGGTCCAGGGTCTGCCTAACAGGGTCTCAGCAATTCCATCAGGCCTGCTTTTCCCTCTCTCCACTCTGCTGACAGGGGTTCCCTCATGGCCGTAGGTAGTTGCTGCAATCTCTTTGGGCCACCATTTTCTCACTCATTACCTGAAGTGAGAGAAGTATTTCCTCAGGAACCTCTGAATTAAGAAGAGTGAAGGACTTTCGCAGAAATCCTTTCTTCATTGGTCCAAATTAGGTCACATGCCCACTTCTCAGGAGCTCAAATTGGGTCACATGACCACTCAGAGGAAAAGATTACTCTTAGCTCTCAGGCCTCAGGAGGCAGGGACAGCTCACTTGAGAACATGAGTTGATTATGACGCTATGGATGGGGGAGGGGTCTCTATTAACAGAAAAGAAGTATAATACTGACTCAACAATTAGGTGAATTAGTATTTAATTTAAATCCATTACTTTAAATGGATTTACAGATGATTTACAAGAGCAATATAGATTTTATCTTTTATTTTAAGAGAATAACTTATAATCAAAAAGAAAAGTAAAAGCACCATAATTCCACTATCTCATAAGAACCATGAATGAAATTATACAAACCTATAATCATTACTCATAGTGCAGACATAACATAAAATAATGTTTAAAATACAGACTTTGGTATTAGGCTCCTGGTTCCTATGCTTATTGTCTGCACATCCTACTCAGCTACTTGCCTTTCCTAAGCATCAACTGCTTCCTTTCTAATGGGAGCAGCAGGAGATCTGTGTAAATTCCTCCAGCATTAACCCTCTGGCTCTGGGTTCAGAAAACCACAGCCTGCAGGCCTGACCCAGTCTCCACTTGTCCTTGTAAATCAAGTTTTATTGGAACCTGTTGTCTATGACTGCTTCCATACCACAATGGCAAAGTTAAGCAGTTCCAGCAGAGAACTTAGAGCCCACAGATCCAAAAAACACTTATCATCAGGCCCTTTGCACAAAAAGTTTGCTGACTTTTTGGCTGGACCATAGGACCTCTACTGTCTTGTCACCATCTGATGTCTTAGCTCTGTGCTTGTCCGATGACTGGAGAGCTGGCCAGGAAACACGGACATCCAAAGAGCTAGTGTGAAGAGGAGAGATGCCCCATGACCGTGTCACTTTGAAATGGCTGCAGAGCATAACTAGCTGATTGATCTGCACATGAATAATTAGCTGAATGAAATATATGATGTATGATTTCCCTTTAACTCCAGGATGTTGACATTGGGCCTGAATGAAAGTGACTTTGTTCAGAGTCTTATCTATGGATACAAGTCATAGCTGTAGGCAGAAAATAAATAGGCTGAAGAGAAAATACGAGAAAGAGTCTGTAATAAATTGTTGTGATGATGCTTTTGAAAAAAGAGACTGTTGCCTCTGTGTGTGCTGGGTGGACAGTGGAGCTGGTGCTCTGATCAGGGAGTCCTGAGAGAGAAGAGTTGAGTCTCACACACCCAGCAGATCTTGTGGAAGAGCCTGAAGGGAAAGACAAGAAGCAGTGCCATGAGTTAAGTCATGATGCTTCCATTCGTTGGTTGTTTTAATCCCAGATTTCAAGATCCTTAAGTTATTTGACTGAAATCTAATGTATCTAAATTATTCTAATCAAATTTAACTTTTTCATAAAACAGTGCTTGAACTAAAGGGTTTTTTTAGTCAAGTTCATGGTGTCTTTCTTTACAAATATAGAGAAATGGTCAACTACAGAGTTTTTGAGGAATCACAGCTTTTCCTGTATTCAGCCTTGCTATGTGAGGAGTGAGAACAGGGGTCTCTAATTGTCTGGTTCCAAGTCCTAACTCAGCTATCTTCCTGCTACTTAATCCTTAATGTCCTCAGCTTTTTTTATTTATAAATTCAAATTAATAAGAGTGCTAACTTTAAAGAGCTTTGATGAGAAGTGATTGAAATAATCCACGTACATAGTCCGAATCTAACGACTTACACCATTCCCTAGGTGTCAGCCGTTTTACTGTAGGTTATGTATAGAAATTCACTGTAGGAAACATTCTGGTAATAAACCATATAAAAGTAAAGGTATATTGTTAGAGGGGCTGGCAGAGTGGCTTAAGTGGTAGAGCACCTGCCTAGCAAGCATGTGGCCCTGACTGCCAACTCTAGTCCCACCAAAAACAAAAAAAGTATATTGTTGGAATGTCCAAGTTCTTATCTGATCTCTGGCTTATTTTTGGAGAAGAAAAGGTGAACATAAAGAAAAAGCCCTCATTGGTGTCTTACATTTAAAAGGTTAGCTAAGGACCATTTAATGAGCATTGTATTGCTTAGAATCCAGGTCAACTTCCTGTTGAATCAAGAGACCTAAGATATGTAGTGACAGAAAAGAGAAAAGTATTTTTTTCTCTGTAACATGTCCCCCAGAGGTAAGTAGCCCTGCTCTGACAAAGTGGCTTGGTTCTTTGAGGTGTTCCATTTGTCTTGTCTCTCCACCATCACCTGTGATGGGTTATGGGGTTGAACCTCACCATAACCTCACTTCTTTTTCTGTCCTTCAGGAAGGGGAAGACAGTAAATGAAGGACAAGTTTGTCCTTCCAAAGGATGGGGCCTGACACTTGTGCACATGACAGCCACAACCACCTCCTTATTGAGGTCTCAGTCACAGGACCACCATAATTGGAAGGCTAGGAAAAAGACTAGCTAGACAGCCATGTGCTCAACTACAATTCCATAGATTCTGTTATCATAAGACAGAAGGAAAGAGTGGACAGTGGAACTCATCAAGAGTCTTCCACAAAAATGTCATGGAAACTATGACTTGTTGACTTTATGGCACTGATTGATTTTAGGATGCATAATCATTTTATGTATCACTAAGGAAGAAAAACCATGCTATTTAAGCTGACATATTGATTATCAGAAAATTTAAGAAATTTTAAAATGTGCCGGAGGAGGTAAAGGGGGAATGTGACTTGGTATGGAAGAAATATTCTATTGGGAAGACTTAGGCAAAGAAAGTGATATAAAGACTGTCATTTTCAGTCTTCTTTTGTATGGGTGGCTTTCCCTGGAGCACTTGTGGGCCCATTGAATTTAATGTTTAGAATAGGTGACTGACAAGGTTTCTCAGTGTGGATTTGTTCTAAGTCAAATTCTGTGACTATAGGTGGGGAGATGCTTGGCTCAAAGGCTTGGGGAAATGTATCTAGATTTCCACTCCTTCTGAGTCAGACCTGGAATTGAGTAAATGAGTAAACAGCCAGAAGAGGTCCTGTCTTTAGTAGTCAGGGTTCTTGCTTAATAATAGGGCAACACTAGGAGGGAACACCTAGACCAGGGCACTTAACTTCTTGCTTCCACATTCCATCATTAAGCAAACAGTTGTTGACCGCTAAGCAAAGACACTGTGATGCAGTCCCACCCCTCTCTGGAGCTCCAGAGTTCCTAGGGGGAAAAGACAAATAGCTTAATCAGAGAAAGCAGTTGTATAGGAGCCATGATGGAGCTGTGGAGTAGAAGCACAGAACTAGGAGGCAGCAGTCCCGTTCCAGGGGGAGGGGGTGGAATTGGAACCGAGGAGGTGTGAGGCCATCCAATCAAAGGTACAGACTGTGAGGCATGTGAACCTGTGGGCCAGTGGTCACGGCTTGGATTTGGGCTGTGACAACTTACCAGACTGGAAGCAGGATGGGGCTAAGAGGTTTGGTTTTGGCTTTCTTTCCTTTGCAGTGTCTTGTACACAGTAGGCCAACAACGGTCTCTGTTGAACTGAAGTGAAGAAAATGCCAACTTCTTGGATGGCCAAGTTGAGATGAACTGAATTTTCCTGGATCAAAAAGATGTCAGATTTCAATAAATGACAAAAGAAAACAATATCTTTGGTGCAAGTTCCTGGGCTTGTTATTTTATTGGTCAAAGACTTGAGGATTTGCTATATAAATATTTGACTGGATTCTCATTTGTTTACCCACTTTTATTCCACTTTAACCCAATTTAATAAGTATGCATGAGGTTTACTTTAAAACACATCTTTTTTCCTTGTTCACACAGAGCAGTTTAGCCTAAATGCTGTGTATTATCCTAAGAACAGAGTCTCAAATGAGTAATCACATCTTTGTGGATTTGACATTCAAAACACCAGAGGATGAGCTCTTTCATCCGTAGGTTTTAAGACATAATTATGAAAGGCCCCAGGCAGTACAGGAAGATAATTTTATTCTGTTGCTTTGAATCTAGTTCATAAGAAAATGATTCTATGCAGGTGTTTCTTGCTATCTGCTGCTACTGAAATCTGCTTTTCTTGTGTAGATCACTGGTACAGATGAGGAAATTAGTAATCCATCCTTTTTAGATCTGGTGAGAACTCCCCAAATGAGGAAGTGCACACTTATACTTATGTTTGCTTGGTAAGTCTGACTTGTGATGGATTTCAAAGCTTGTGTCAAATTTACAGTGTGCCCTTCCTTCGAGTTGGGTAAGGTTCTGTCTCTTACTTGCCTTTCTCTGGTGTCCACCAATGTTGCTGCAGGTTCACAAGTGCAGTGGTCTATCAAGGACTTGTCATGCGTCTGGGAATTGTGGGAGGCAACCTGCACTTAGACTTCCTCATCTCAGGACTCGTGGAGCTGCCTGGAGCCCTTTTGATCCTATTAAGCATTGAGCGCCTTGGACGCCGCCTCCCTTTTGCAGCAAGCAATATAGTGGCTGGGGTGGCATGTCTGGTCACCGCGTTCTTACCAGAAGGTAATCTTCAACTTGTTTGGCAGCTTCTGAAGAATCTGTAAAAACTGAAGTCAAACGATCAAATACGGGGGCAGGGGTCACTTGTTTTTAGGAACTGTGCCAGTGCATCACGAGCTTGACACCAGGCAAGGTTTGGTGATGTCACTCAATTTGCTGCTTCATCAATGTAAAGACTGAAGATAAGGGATTGGTTCTATAGATTTCTCTCTTTTCTCAATTTTGAAGCTCATTTTTTAGTGAAATAGACACTGTGTCAAATGTAGCTCACAGTGATGGGGTTACTTTTAGTCACCTCTGTCTGACTACCTTTTGTGATATGACTGACATTGTTTAGTGTATTTCCTGAGCCTTTCCCATGTCACTGGCACCATGCTAGACATGGACACCTCAGACAAGAGGAAGATGTGGTTCTTGGCTCTGAATGGTTCATGACATGTTAAGGAATATACACTCTTTAATACTGCCATAAACCATGGTGATAAATGAGCTAACAGAATTTATACAGGATTTAGACACATAAACGGAAGGAAGGAAGGAAGGAAGGAAGGGAGGGAGGGAGGAGGAAGGTGGGGACGAAGGGAGCTATTGATTAATCCAGGGAGTTGGAGATAAGGGAATCCAGAAAAGCTTCCCAGAAGTGAGAACTAGGTTTGGGCAAAGAATGAAGTATACCAGATAGAAAGGAAAGGAGCAATTTTTCCAAGGTTCTGTAACCACAGTATTAGGCCAGTGGTCTGACGCAGGTTCCAACATGTCAGGTCCAGCCATTTGCCTCAAAGGAAGAAAACAAAAGAAAGATCAAAGGGCAGGAAAGGATTTTAATAAAAATGGCCACTTTTGGAAGACAGAAATTAAGCATTTCAGCCCATCTTTTGGGGATTGACATGACCTCTAGGTTTAAAAACAGAAAGAATTGGAGCAGAGGGTAAGAGGAGTACAAAACTAAACAGCCTTGGTCAAAGTGTGGTCTGGGTGGTCCTTATCTCAGTCTGGTTCTATAAGATAGTCAGAAGAAGTCCTTAATGCTTGAGGGGACAATCCGGTTCTCACAAGATGCTTGCTCCTGCTTGGGGGTGATCCCACCAGGAGATGAGAGTCTGTGAGACTCTGCTCTTTCTGGACTCCAAAGTGACTAAGGCTTAGGACAATGACTGGAGACTTCCAGGTGTCTTTTCAGGGGTCTAGAACAGGAGGTTATAAAAGCTGACAGTGAGAGACCTCGGCTACTCTTACCACTGTGTCTTCAGCCTTGAAGGGGAATGAGATAGGTAGGGGTATAACCAGTTTTTAGACAGGCACCCCTAGACTGGCTAACATGCACTGAAGTAAAGGTGACTCTTGAAAACTGACCATGGGGACATCAGGCTTTTGTACTGCTTGTGGTTACCTTGCGGGCCCAAGTGTGGAGTCTCTTAGTGCCTGTCACATTCCCAGAAGCATGAAAACTTCTGTGGGTTCAGAAACTGGTTTCTTGTTATCCCTGGAGTGCAGGAGAGGAGGCCTGAGGGCATCAGTCCCCAACATGCCTGTCCTGCAGGCCTTGTCAGGAGCTTGACCTGTCCTATGAGCCTCAGGAGGAGGCAGAACTGCATGCAGCAGTTTGGGTCATGGCTGCTGCTGGGAGGAAAGAGATGCCGAGAGCCAGGATAAGGTTGGGTCAGTAAGGCTGGGATGGGAGAGCGGGATTTCCTTCCAGAGATATTGGAAAGGAAAAGTTTTTCAGAGCTTGAGGACTGAGAGATGGGGTTCAGGATAGAGAGGAAAGAGGAGACTAAACGCATGATCAACACAGCACAGGTGACCTCTGCCACCAACACGACAGGAAAGAGGGAGCCTCTAAAACTCCCCAGGGACAGGTGGATTCAAGCAAGTAAGTTATTTCTGTGTTCTGGCTGTGGAGTGGGGATGTACAGAGAGCTGGGCTCTTGGACCATCCTCTGTGTCTGCACAGGAGGCTGTCCTTCCCGGAGACTCCCGAGAATCAGAGAAGACACATTGTAGAGGTCGAAACACTGGGAGGACATTTACAGGACACTATTAATTATGCAGGTTTGTGGGGTTCCAAGACATCAGGTAGAACTTACTTGAGCAAAATTACAGAACTACCAATCTTCAGAACAGAAAAAGAAGGATGTGCAATTCCCCTGCCACATTGGAATACCTGATGACAAACAAAAGGTTTATCTTATTTTCCTTGAGTGTGTGCAGTAACAAAGCAGCACGAGCGAGGTCTTGAAACAGCAGCAGATTCTCCCACCACATTCTGAGAACAGAAGTTCAAAATCCAAATGTTGCAGTACTGAGGTTTGAACTCATGGCCTCACACTTGCTAGGCAGGTGTGCTCCACCATTTGAGTCACTCCATCAGCACGAGCCTTCTCATTTCTTGACACCTCTCCAAGCTCTGCCTCCACTTTTGCATGACATTGTCCTCTTTGTGTCTCTGTCATCTACAAAGACCCCATTTCTAAATATGGTCCCGTCCCAAGTTTCCCAGGAGACATGAATTTTGGGGGACCCTATTCAACTCCCTAATAAAATTAACAGAGTCTAAGAATTGGGGTAGCTGTACAATAGCTACTCATCAGTGTGTGTCTACTTAGTATTCATGGTCAGCCACTAAACTAGAAGGTGGGTGGAGGGGTGAAGAATATAGACATATTCAAAGTGTAGAATTTAAATAAAAGTTTGGGGAAAGGAGAAAGACCATTAGTGAGTTCAGTTGTCTTTCTATTTTTGTTTGCTTTTGGATTTAACTTGAAAATATATTTCCCTAAGATGGGGTCTTGTGCTCTCAGCACATGTGGAATAGAGATGAAATCTTCACTGCATATGGAGCCAGGAAATTGGGAGAAAGGTCAGTGCTGTCTGTGGGGCCAATTGCTTCTCCATGAACAATCACCCGACAGTAATGCGCTACTAGAGTGATTGGGATGGTTTCAGTGCCTGCTGAGTTCGACATGATCCCAGAACACAACAAGCAAGGTCAAAGCAAATGGGTGGGGTGGGAATGGAGGTATTTTGCTGAGAACACACTGGAGAATATAAGGCAAAGGGTAGCTTTTCTGCTTGGTCCAGTCAGTTTTCTCAGCAAGACTGCAAATGAATTCTGGACACATTTTATTCGTAAATTCTGCAGACTTGACTGCTTTTATAGTCACATCAGTTGTGACTGATCCCTAACATGAGCTGCAGATATGAACAGAAGTTCTTCCCTTGAGGGAGCAGTCCTTGCAATTTAAAGATGCTTTTGGACTTGAGAACCAGGACTGTCAAATTAGCATGCGAAAGCTGTTCTTCCAAGCCCTACTAAACATCAGTAGGCAGGACCACCCCCCTGGCCAGAATGCTGCTGAGCCTTTTGGAGAAGTCAGCTGTGAAATAATGTCACAGAAAACAGTTTAGCTGGCTCTCCCTCCACTGAACCCAACTTTTCATAGTCTGAGAATAACATTCTGGAAGAAGAAATTGTCTTTCTGGCTGTGTCCTCGTCTAAGACTTGCTGCTTTGGGCATACATTTCTGAACTCTAATTAAAGTCTGGAAAATAAAGAGCTTGCCTTATCTGTAGCCATCTGTCATTTTAAATTTTAATTTGTTTAAGATGGATACAGAATTAACAGTTTAGGTAAGTCTTTTTGAAATGAAAAAGTTGTCTTTTACTTTTTCTCTGTAAGAGAAAAGTAAATCCATGCATCTCCATCTGCATTTCTCCTAGGCCTTTTCACTACATGTAATTTCAGAACTCAGAGCAGATGGCACATTCAGAGGAGGCTGAAAATTAGATTTTAAATTCTGTGTCCTTTCTTCAAGAAATGAGCCATTGCTTTCAATAATCTTAGTAGCTTGAGCAAATTCCCGGAAGAACATCATGGTCTATGTTCACATACAACTGTGATAATTTCAGCTCACTTTTAATTTTTTTGTTCTTTAAGACCAAAAGATGCCTATTGTCACCTTAAAACTATTGTCACCTTAAAACGAATTTAGCCTATCGCTAAAGGTTTTCATATGTCTACATAGTTATTCGCACATAATTTATACCTGTTAATAAATTGGCTTTTTTCCACTCTTCAGTCAATGAACAGTGAGTTCAGTACCTTTGGGACTTCTCTTGTTACACATTTCAACAGAATCTCGTTCCAGAGTAGAGCTGGATCTCCTGCTTGGGAAAGAGTTGAGTCTTTAGACTAAGGTCACTATGTAGGACAGACACATCTCCCATATGGCTGTCAACCTCATGGCATTTTCTGTTTTACTGAATTAACCACATATTTTCCTGAGTTAACCACACTCTCCATCGTGTGTGTATGTTAATTTGGTTCCTTGATTTTTGTTCATTTTTTCCACATCAAACAGTTCTAGCCTCAGTTGTAAACCTAACAGGCATTGAACTTATGCAAGGGACTCGCGGATAGAGAAATCAGTCTTGGTTTGGTAGAAAAGAGACCTCTGACCAGCTAACCTGGACAACGAAGTTATTTCCACAGAAGCCCCCTAGGAGGGGGACCCAGCCCACCAGGCTGGGACCCAGGGAATTGGGTGAGCACTCCCAGCAGCACCTGCTCATCCAAGGACAGAAGTGGAATGCATTTCCCAGTCCCTCCCTGGCCTTCATGACAAAGTGCAGCCTAAATAAAACACATGTTTACAAACTGTTCTGTGCCAGAGCAGATGGTGGTCCAGTGCGTGAGTGTAACTCAGATGTTCCTCTTTCCCTGATGTAACCGTCAGTGTGACAGCTGCAGGTGTTCTCGTCTGGAAAGACGTCAAGTACACCAGGACATCCTCAGCCAGTTTGCAATTAAAGTGCAGGAAGCTAGGGCTTCCCAGCAATAACCTGGACTCTTGAACCATCTTTTCCTCTGCTTGCCCTCCTGACAATTGTTTTATTGAGTGGATTTCTAGGTTTTTTGATTTGTTGACTATTCTCTAGGGAGAACAAGCATAAACACAGCTAAGCTTGATTGTTTTCTTTCATCCTCATTCATACCTACTTTTCTACTTAAAAAAAGTGCATTTTGGAAGGTATAAGAATTCTCTAGAAGACTGAGAATGAGCTGGTGCTAACTGAGCATCGTTGAGCACCATGAGCACTGAGCATCCCTAACTTTGCTTTGGAGGGCAGATAGGCCTTGTTTGGATAATCACAGGTCCTCATACCAAGTCCTCTGGAAGGATGACAAATTGCACGACTCTCAAGAAATTTGGAATCCTGACTTTTTAGAAATAAAATGAGGAATTCTTTCTGCCCTCAAGACAAAAGAAAGAAGGCAGGCATGGTGGTACGTGCTTATAAACCGGGCACTCAGGAGGCTGAGAGTGGAGGCTCAAAAGTTGCAGGCCAGCCTGGGCTGCATAGTGAGACCCTGTCAACAAAAAGGAAGGAAAGAAGGGAGGAAGGGAGGGATGGAGAAGTGAGGGAGTGATGTTTCATAGGAATGTTTGGCATTTCCCATAGTTACTATTTTGAAACAGATGAGCCAACTGGTGTGTAAGAATCTGGCTCTTTTCTGACGATTTCTTTGGGGAAGTCACATGACTGGAGATAAAGAAGACAAGGAGTGACATATGCCTTAGGGATAGCACACAGAATTGACATCCCCTTCCAAAGATCCCAGTCCTCAAAGCCTTACTACTGTGTGAAAACCAAAGTCAGCTCAGGAGAGCCATTTCCCTGGTCTGTGCAGAAAGAGAATGGGTGGGCATCTGACAGTGGTAATGGTTGTCAAGGGCACAGTGGGAGACTAGCTTCCAGACAAAGACCAGTGGACCTGGGTTCTCTAAGAAGGCACTGCTTAGAACATTATTTCAATGTATTGACTGCTCAATAAATGGTCCTTGAATTGTATTTCTGTAATCTATCATTGCTCAGAAGGCCAACTCTAACACACTAAAGATTAGCTATCATCCTGGTCGTTGTTGAAGCTTGTCTAAAATATTGGAAGTTTCTAGCCTGTGTACTTAAAATTTGCAGACTTAAGTCTGGGGAATGCTATGCAAATGCATTTTGTTGTTTTGTAAAATGTTAGTGAAATCAGACCTCTAATTCTCCCCTTCCAAATGTTCTGTGCTTGCAGGGTTACCATGGCTGAGGACCACAGTTGCTACCCTGGGAAGACTAGGGATAACCATGGCCTTTGAAATTGTTTATTTGGTAAATTCTGAATTGTACCCAACAACGTTACGGTAATTCCAACATATATGTCATGATTTCTCATAAGTGACTCTGCAGCTAAATGCTTCCATGCGTTGTGATGCATTTGCCTGGGCTGAATTTGGCCAGTAATGAAGATATGCTTTGAGTTATAGCTGCTTTTTGCATTGCTATCTGTACATTTTGTGGCAGAAGTATTTTTCTGTCAGTGTCTTCAGACATAGCTGTAGTTTTGTGGAGAGTCATTAACCTTGGAACTAGAGGGCTCTTGGTGTATTTGCTTAGACTGCAGGCTAAGTTTGTGCTCCTCAGCACCACCCCGTTTAAAAGCTGTGATCTCTCTTCTGACTGCATCACATGTCTTGCATTTGTGAGCAACTGGTTGTTGAATGAATACACAAAAGAGCATGCATGCATTCGTACAACTTGGCTTCCCTGGGTAGGGGATATTCCAGCTGGCACACCTTGCCGGGTACCAAGTTGACAACAGGCGATTGAGCTGATAATGGGTCAAAGTCTTTCCACCGACACTGCAGACTTCTCCACCCCCTTCCTGCAAAACAGTGCAGAATGGAGATGGTTTGCTCAGAGTCCAAGATGGTGGTGGTTGTCGAAGTTAAAAGCAATAGAGACAAAGTGCTATCATTTCTGTAACTTAATATGTCTGAATATTTTAATTGTTTCAAATTTATGTAAATTGCTTTCATTTAAAACTATTTTTCATTTTGTAGAAACTTTGGAGTTTCACTGTGCTCAGCCTTGTGTGATTTTGGGGGAATCATAGCACCATTTTTGCTCTTTCGACTGGCTGCCGTGTGGCTGGAACTACCTCTGATCATCTTTGGTAAGAACTCCTTGTCTATGCCACTCTCAGCTGTTACCGATTAGTGCACTGACAGAACCTGTAACGATTACTAGGTTTGACGCTAATGATACCTATTTCTTCTTTTTATGGTCATTGTTTCAATTTTGAGGAGTCGATCTAATTACAGAAAAATCTGAAATGCTAAGTGATTGTAAGTTACATTAAAGGGTGATACTAAACAGTGTTCATGTTAGCCTTTTCTGTTTAGGTTCTGAGTTAAAATCAAACACTATGAAAGGTTTTTATAACATTAGGGAATGGAAACACACATTTTCAGACCAAATTGGATCGTCATATTGTTATGTTTAAAAATTAGCCTGAAGAATAATTGTATGTCTAAATGTTCACTATCCATCAGATCTTAATTTGTTTTGATGCTAAAAACACTTTGTTGAAAGAAAAGAGGACACAAAATCACTTCTACTATACCCTCGCCCTCAAGTTCCACCTCCTTCCTCTCCAATCTTTGTAGAACTCAGGAAGCAATAGACTGCTGGAGGGACCTTAGCACTTTGGTGCAGCATCTCTCCAGTTCTGGTCCACTGTCCCATCTGTACCCACCACCACCACCCTCTTTAGCACAAAGGACACAAGTGGGCCCCTTGCTTCCCCTGCCTTTCCTCCACTTCCACTTCATTGCTCTTGATAGAAAAAGGTTTTCATTTATTGTTTAACAGTTGAGATTTGAATGAAAACATCAAATTCATGAGTACATACTTCTGATTCAGGCGAAGTTCCTTTGACGATTCTAGGGAAAGAAAGTCAACTCTAACCACTTGATCCCAGAGAGCTTCATGCAAGTTCATTTCAAATGATTTAATGGGATTTGATAATCAAGATCGCTGTTCATTCTGTGACCAGCAAGGAGAAACAAAGAGGACACATAATCCATCCAGGACAGAATGGTTTAGGAGACTTACTGGCTTAGTTATTGGAGCTTGCAACTCGATCTACAGATAATTGCTGCCCAAACTGGCCAGGGGGTGAGGCAAGCCCTTCCCTCCCAAAGTGGGCTGAGAAAAGAGTCAAGTTTCTAAAACCCAGCACCAATACAATGTGACTAATAGTGAAATCACATCACAAGAACATCTAGCGCCATTAGGCCAAGGGGAGAAGGTTGGGAGGAAAGACACAAGGTCTTGGTAGAAGCACTGTTCATTTCCAAGTGGTGGGAAGGCCAGGAGCAAGAGGAAGACCGTGTTCTCTTACCCCAGTCATTATAAGGTGGAGTCTAGTGTGTAAAGTGGGGTTGGAAGGGCATTGTCACCAGGGGAAGACTGTACAGCTCATAAAGGCTTTTCTCAGATGGGCACAGGCTCTGCTCCTTATCCAGTGGCAGTGAGGAGCCACTGGGGAGAGTGTGCTGGGGAGAGCACAGCTGGATTTGCCTCTTAGACATGCAAATGAATTGGGAGGTGACAGTGATGACTGAAAAAAGATGTAAGTGAGTAAGAAACCATCAGTCCCATTGGTCTAAGAGGCAATGGCAGTGAAAATGGAGAGGTAGAGACAGGTTCAGGAAGCACATTAGGAGTCAGGTTGGTGGGCAGGATAGGAAACATGGCAGCAGAGGTGTTAGGTAATTAGGCCCTGGCTCCCACATGGTCCCACAGATGAATAAAGGCCCTGGTGCAGATCTGCAGAAGGCCATGACAGAATGAGTGCCTCTACACATCCAAGGTAAAAAATGAAGAATCCAAGAGGCTGTTCTGAGCCCAGGAGGAGGCTCAGACTTGGGGATCAGTGTGGATGCAGATCCCAGCGAGGCAGGGGCAGTGACAGAAAGTGGAACACAGGAGCTGGGGAAAGTGTGAGAAGAGGGGAGGGAAATCCGATGAGCAAAGCAGGGAGGTTGAGGGGAAGTGGGTATGAGACCGGACCAGTGATTAGGACCTGGCAGCAGTACCACTGGATCTGGGGGGAGGAGGTGGTTAGTGAGCTGGCTAGAGCAGGACCAGGGAGGACATGGAGCAGAGCCCATATTACAGTAGGGTGAGGTGGGGTCTGACATGGTGTGATGTAAGATGGTGCTGGAGCAACTTGTCCCAGCTTACCAGAGCCAAATGTGACATTTTCAAGAATTTTGTGAGCCAGTTACATAGAGCCATCATTGAAAATTATGGTATATAAAAGCTACTAAAAGCAGAAGTAATAAATACATTTCATCAGTCGCTACCTCAGTTTCTACATTTTTTCCTGTAATGAGTGTCTGGAGATTACTTAGCACTGCTCTACCTTTATGGTGAAATACCATAGACTAGAGTGCTACCCCTCATCTCTTCCCAATGTGCCACATTCATCGAGGCAGTGTTGGTAGCTTGAAATGTCTACACCACGGAAATGGACAAAGCTACCTACCAGTTAGGGCTTTATTTTCCAAAGCTAGTGGTAAACATTTACTAGCATGGAAAAACTAGGAGAGGATGCTGTTTCAGGAATTTTGGCTCTAAGAACAGAAAATGGAAATGGTAACAGGAGAGTGATATGAGGTTAACAGAGGCTCCTTGAAGATTAGAGTTTGAGTGTGTTTGAATGCCTCTATGGACAGCTTGAAGATGCTGGAGAGAGTGGATTGATCATATAGTGAGGAGTCCCAAAAAGACAGGTGTATGTGAGCCTTGTCCTTGGGCAGAAGTGGTGATAAGTGTCAGAGCGTGACAAGACAGGAGGGACAAAGGGCAAGAGTGGAATGAAGCTATGACGTAGGGAAACTGAAATGGAGGATGAGTCTCTGCTGCCTTCTGTGTTCTCTGTGAAGGCATGAGGTGAGGCCAGGGGTGTCTGGCACTTGGTGGGCTCTCCTCTCAGTAAGCGCAGTCGTGCACCACAGAAAGATCACAGCATTTATAGCGGTGACCCCATAAGGTTACATTACCCAGTGACATCACAGCCATTTTCATTTGCATAAGTACACACTATAATGTTCCCACAGCAATAAAATCACCTAAAAGTGAGTTCTCACTCACTTCTCAGAATCTGTCCTCATCGTACATGACACACAATTAATTGCCAAATGAATAAATAGTGAAAGTGTGCCAAGAGCACAGAGCTCATGGGACTGGGCAGGACTTGAGGAGGAGGGAGAACTTTTGAGATCCTGAAACAGCAGATTATGAAGAGGGTGTTGCTGTTGAGGTCTAGGTCTAGGGCAGGGAGGCAGGAGGGGGCCTGCGTGTCCATGGGTCAGCCTGTGTGCCTTCCCCATTCCATAGGTGTCCTGGCTTCTGTCTGTGGTGGTCTCGTGATGCTTTTACCTGAAACCAAAGGTATCGCCTTGCCAGAGACAGTGGACGATGTAGAAAAACTTGGCAGGTATGGTACACAAGTCAACACACCTTAAATATGAGACTAAAAGCAGCATTTTAAGTCATGGGGGAAATGATGGTATTGAGAAAACTGAATATTCGCAGGAAAGAAAACACATTAAATCTTCATCTCATGTCCTAAGCAAAAAAGTTCAAAGTAGATTTAAGAGGTTAGTGCTTAAAAAAAAAAAAAGCTATAAAAGAATATGGGCTATTTTTAAAGTGTGATTGAGAAGCATTTCCAAGTAAGGTGTTGAAAGTCAGAAGTGATCTAAAGAAAGGGACAGATTGATGATGTGACAGAGTAAAACAACTTAAATGTGTATTAATAGGGATCGAGTGGAAAGATATTCAGAATAAGGATTACTCCTCAGACATGGAAAGAGTTGGGGCCTGTCTTTTGGAGCCACCTGGGAAGCTTCTCAAGAATGATTTCAAAGTAACACGAGCAATGTGTTATCATATCTACTACAAATAGACTAATCTAGCTACATGGAGG